GATCTCACGGTCTGTGAGTTTAAGCCTCATGTCGGGCTCTGTGCTGTCAGTTCAGAGCCTGGAGCCTGTTTCAGATTCTGTCTGTGTCTCTCCATCTCTCAGCCCCTCCCCTGCTCATGCTCTGTGTCTCTCAATAATAAATAAACGTTAAAAAAAAGTTTAAATCAGACTAATTGTGGCACCCTATTTCAGAGGCCATGCGAAGGTGAAATGTGTTTCTGAAGGGCAGGGCGTAAGTGAGGCATTGATGAGGGAGGGACTGGGAAGGAGGCAGGGGCCACATCACGGAGGGCAGAGGGCTACAGTGTCATGCAGAGAGGTGACACTATCCTAGGGGCAGAAGGAGGGCACAGAGCAAGGAAAAGGAGGGACATTATACTTCCTGCTTGACGTCAGTCACTGTGGTGGTGCTGTCCACATCTCCCCATTAACTCGTCCCTAAGTGATAAAAACGAGGCCCGGAAGCATTGGCTGACCCAGCAAGATCGTGGCAGAGCCGGGCTCAGATACCTCTGCCCCAAGCTTCCAGACTGTTTCCCAGCCCGAGCTTGTTGAATGACCTGCCACTGGTTCACAGAGCCAGCTGCTCGTCCCCGTGTGCAGTGCACGTTCCTGTTGTATGTCCCTGGCAGCTGATGCCAGAATTTCTGCAGGGAGAGACAGAGTAGCACTTCACGTGCACGGAAGTTCGAAGACTTCATTCCTACCCACTTTATAGAAGGAGATAAATACTCATCTCCTACTGCACAGATAAGCGCAGTAAGGCTCAGGGTAGGAAAGTGGTTATGCCTGGGGTCACCCAGCTACTACTGAATGCAGAATTGGGACTTGAACCCCAGCCTGCTGACTCACAAGGTGGCGCTGCACTCTGTCTGCTCTGCTAACAGCTGACGCTCATCAGTGTGGGGGGGGGGGGGGGGGCTCTGTCTCTTCCCCATTGGCAAGGCAAGGCAAGCGTGTCCCTGTCACCACCTGTCTGGGAAGGTGGGGTGGGCCACCCTCTGTCACAGACAGGAGAGACCCCCCCCCCCACCTACCTGCGTTCTCTCCTAGGTACCTTCAGCGCCCCGTGGGCGGCCTTGGCCCGCAGCCGCGAGCAGTACTGCCTGGCTTGGGAGGCCAAGTACCTGATGGAGCTCGGCAATGCCCTGGAGACCATCCTCAGTGGTCTCGCCAACATGGTAGCCCAGGAGGCCCTGAAGTACACAGTGTTGTCTGGTAAGCACCCCCCGACCCGGCCACTACCGCCAGCAGCAGGCCCACAGCTCCCAACTCACACCAGTAGCATATCTTTGTGTGCCTGAGGCCCCCGGTGAGCCGGGCACCGTGCTGGGTCTTAGGAACACAGAGAGATTAAGACTGCATTCCTGTCTATCAAGTTTATGGTCTCTGTGGGGAGGCGACCGGTAAACAGCCAATCACGTTGTCACACGGCGTATCAGTTAGCTATTGCTGCATGACAAGCAACCCCAAAACTCAGTAGCTTAAAACAGCAATCATTTCTCATAATAGCTGAGAAGTCGTAAGGCTTCATTTGGCTGATCTCAGGTGGGCCTGCTCGTGCGTCCGTGGGTCAGCCAAATGTCCGCCGATCTGGGCTAGCCTGGTCTGGGGCAACTAGGACAACTCAGCCCTGCTCCATTTGTCTCTCACCTCCTCCTGGGATCAGCAGGCTAGCCCACACCAGCGCTAGAAGTGCGTGAGAGCCTGGACCCAACGCACAAAACCGTTTCAAGCTTCACGTCAACTAATAGCTCATTGGCCTAAGCAACTCACATGGCCAAGGCTAGAGTGGAGCGCAGGACAGGGGCAGGGGCCCGGGCCCTGCAGAATTATAACACAAAGCGGGAGGATACAGGGTCGGGTGACAAACTGAGGCCATCTTGGGCATCTCACTGGTGACCGATGCTTGAACAGAAGGAATTTAGTCCATGAGTCAGAAATGCATGAGCGTCAGTTTTCTTCATTGCTCTAATAGCAGTTTGACAGCACTTGGAAAACTTAACAGGTTCCAAGTTCAAGACTCTGCACACATTCACTCGGGCATCCATTGGCCAGCCCACCACTTCCCGAGAAGGACCTCCCCCCACTGCTTTCATCACTGATATCCCACCTCCCCAGGCATCGTGGCTGCCCTGACCTGGCCAGCCTCACTCCTCACTGTCGCCAACGTCATCGACAACCCCTGGGGCGTGTGTCTCCATCGATCCGCAGAGGTTGGCAAGCACCTGGCCCACATCCTGCTCTCCCGGCAGCAGGTACCTGGGCTGTTGGGGGAGGTGCAGGGAAGAAGGGAAGTGTGGAAACTGACTTGTGCACAGATGTCAGCCCTAAAGACAAGCCCACATGGAGGTAGCCCAGTGGCTTTTTGGGGGTGGATGGCCTTCACTGCCCCTACAGTCCAAGTCACAAGAATATCCCAGGATGGACCAGTGAGAATTGTGGGTTGTGCGTTTCTCGCAGGTAGTGAGGTGAAGACTGAATAACAGGGACATTGAGGGAAGGGACAAGGGCAGGTGTTCCCTCCTGGAAGTCTAGAGCCACCATCTGAGCAGATGTCCCGTGGTCCAAATACCGTGTAAAATGATCAGGAAGATAAACAATCGGAATACTTTTAAAATTTGAATCCAGTACTTACCAGGGAAATGAAACTGCATGCCCCCCCCCCCC